CCTCCCCCCCCCCCCCCCCCCCCCCCCTCCCTTTTTTGAGCCTATTCGAACGAGAAGAGAGAGAAGGACGTCAGAAGAGAAACACCACAGTCGGTTACAGGGACTCGATCCATCAGGCAATGAAAAGTATCTATTCCTCAGGAGTAGAAGAAGAGGCGAGCTTCGACCAGCAAGGATCCTGATCTGTACCTTTACTCACAAAAAGATCCGTTCGAGTTCTGCCTTGCACAAGAGTCTCCAAGTCATTGTTCATGCGCTCAATGTCTTTGGTCGCTCTTGTTGCCGGATTCTACTTTCAACAGTAATCCTGGCTTCCAGACTCGCCTGATACAACTCAGGAGTGAGCATGGAGTTGTATAATGTGAGGGTCGTCCGGCGACGCCTGTGATAGCACCTAGTACGCTTGCGAGGATGATTGCCCGCCCGGGGTCTCGGAGGGCAGCGAGGCAGGCACTTCGGAGGGTCGTTGGGAACCATCAACAGCCATAGAGGAGGGAGAAATACTAATATCAACACAAATGTTGCAAATATGTTCCCTGGCATATATAGCCGGTCGTCCTACGTCAAGTGCTTCCATCTATTCCGTGTCTAATCCTGCCTCTGTCTTGGTCTTCTTTTCCTTCTTCTCCATGGAGAACTTTGTGCCGACCTCTTTTCTTAGGGGAACTTCCTTCTCTAAAAGCACCAGCAGGAATCCCAGTCCCGCGAAAGCCAGGCTCACATACCAAACCACATTAAGCGAATCCACGTAAACGGACCGGACCTCCGCGACCGTGACGGGATCCGCGATGGAGTCGATAAAGATCTTAGTGGCATACTCGTACGCCCGCCCATTAGTGAGCTGGCTACCGAGGGCGGTGTCGGCGATGCGCGGCACCAGAATGTCGAACCGATTGTTGAAGACGGCCGTGGCAATGGCTGCGCCCCAGATAAAGCCAAAAGTGCGCATGAAGGACCACGTCGCGGTGCACCGCGCCGTATCCTCCTCGGTAAGTGGGGCCTGGACCGCGGGGAGAAGAACCGGCAGCGCAAGACCCGTGCCCAACGCACCGAGAAGTTGGTAGCCCACCCACTCTCCCGTGTTGGAGTCGACGTCGAGGAGGGTCAGGAGACCGAACCCGATGATCATCAGCGCGAGGCCCGCGGGCTGTAGGGGACGGTAGCGGCCGAATTTGGAGAGCAAGGTTCCGCCTGCGATAGCGCCGGGGATCATGAACAAAATGGTCGGGAGAAGCTGGATACCGGAGCGGGAAGGTGTCGTGTCGAGCACCGCCTGGAAATACAGGTAAGAAGTACATGACCGACACGCTGGAGAGCGTGTGCAGAAAGGTGACAGCGAACGCGGTTCCCGACGTGCAGTTGGCAAAGATGTGCAGCGGCATGGTCGGGTTGACGCAGAAGCTCGAGGCCTCGTAGAGCACAAAGGCCGCGGAGCCCGCGAACCCCAGCACCAGGGGGACGATGACGTGGTAAGAGGACCACGCGTATAGCGTCCCGGCCCACGACAGGGAGATGAGGATTGAGACCATGGACAGGACAAAGAGCGTGTTGCCGATCCAGTCGAAGCGACGCAGGCGCTGCAGGTAGTCAGGTGTCTTATCGGACTTGACGCGGAGGAAGGTAAAGAGCACGATGCACGCCACTCCGCCGATGGGGACGTTGAGGTAAAAGACCCACGGCCATGAAGAGTACTGCACGATGAGCCCCCCGAAGAGTGGTCCCAAGGCGGCGCCGAGTCCCACGAGACTGACAATCATGCCCAGGTATTTGCCTCGCTCGCGCAGAGGGAGAAGGTCGCAGATGATGATCTCGGTGAGGACGAGGATCCCGCCACTACCGATCCCTTGGAGGAGGCGGCCCGCGATGAGCGTTTCGATGTTTTTGGACCCTCCCGCGACGCCGCTGCCGATGGTGAATATGGCTGCGCTCGTGATCATGGGCCATCGGCGGCCGTAGATGTCGGCCATCTGTCCAAAGAAGGGCTGAAAGGCCGTTCTATGCCATTGTTAGTGAATACGAGACGTGCGTGGGGAAGTGTTGTGCCTACTGGGTCAGATAGTAGCCATTGACAACCCAGACGTAGAGACTGGCACCTCCAAGATCGGCCGTGATGGTAGGCAGCGCCGTGGACGTGATGGTCGCCTCCAGCGAGGTCAGGAGACTGGTCAGGGCGAGGGCCACGATGATGGCATAGAAGCCAAAGGACTTTTTTGTCGTCGGCTTGGCCTCGGAGCCATCGGGTGTCTGGTTCTGCTCATCAGCTGTGGTATCTGGTGCGATATCACTCTGATGGCTCTTGCCCGCGTCTGGGTCGTCTGTCATGTTGGTGACTGTGGACTTTGTCGCCACGGTCCCACGTCTACAGCTATCTTCTGGAGCCTTACAGTTGGCAAAGAAGACGACAAAAAAAAAAAACGAAAAGGGAAAAGGGAGAATGAGATACTGCTGATGATCTACAGGCTATGGCACTTGAGTAGACTAGGAGATGCAAAATGTCAAGAATTTTGGTTGGGTAGAGGTAAAAAGTTAACCGCGTCGAGGAAGAATAAGATACATACTGTCCGTGGGAATTATATAGGTCGCAGGGTCGCACGGGATAATCCCGATCCTGGTATCCCCCAAAGGTGCTGGCTTTATGGCTTCGGCACGTGCCGTATCCGGTGTTGAAAGCCGGGAGAGCAATGACCCGAGCTCCGGGTGATCAGCACCATCTCACATTAACTAACTACATAGTTAACTATGTAGTTAACTAACTAATAACTAACTAGTGGGCGATATGTACATGTGGGGCCATAGGGATGAGGCACGTCGCGTTATAGAAACTGATTGCGAAAGAGATAAACAGCCTTCGGTATAATACCACTTCACTCGATCCCAACCGTGAAAGACAGCAAATACAGCATTCAGCATCGTGCAAGACAGTAAAAGTTGGCCGTTTTACCAATCAGGCCTAGTTCCGTGGCATAGTGGCTGACCCCGCTTGTTGAAACGAAATTAATTGAGGCCAACTTCAAGTTCCCCTAGAGGAAGTGGTCATTTTGACCGTCGATCTAATCGAGCAAATCAAGATCTACTTCAGGTTCAACCTTATAAACGCTACTTCTCCGCCTGCATCAGAGCAACATCCAAAAGAGCAGGCTTGATGTCCAGGTGATGCATTCTTTCGTTGCTCCCAAGGATACTGCTGTTCCTTCCTACACCCCCTGGCTCCCAGTTGCAGGGTTCTTGAGGTTGGCCCCGTCAACCGAGCTAAACTAAGATTAGCGCGCCCTCCATGGCCAGTTCGACCAAACAATAATCTTAACCAGTATTTTGGCAGCTGCGGGGACGAAAAGAGTTCTGCGGGAAGCACTATCCGGGCTTAAAAGCCAGGATATTCCTGCGACCAGGGTCTGTAACTGGGAACTTAGATCTGTGGTTATTCGCGTTTTCCTCACATAGGTAACAGGACCAGATACCTAGCTTTCTCTCTCTCCGTGGGCTTCGCTCAGAATGCAACGCTCTCTTTCTCCATCTTCCCCTGCGTAGCTTCCCAACAGCAGTTCCTCGCACCTGGCTGTCAATACCATGTCCACCTGGGCATATAGCCGATACGTCGGGCTTGGCACGTGCTGAATGTAGTTCGGCATTTCGACCGAGGTCTCTCCCCGCGCCGAGTATTTGGGGATTCGGGAACTCAAACCCTCAGAGCATTATTCCATACATATAAGGCAGCTAGCTGTCTCTGCAGTCCAGTCTTACACCAATATCGGCAACTTCCAATGTTCAGCCCAGAATGAGATCATTGCTCTCACTTGCTTCCCGGCCCCAAGCCCTGTCGGGCGCAGTTCAACCTGCAAGAGGGTCAGATCTGACATCGCGTCTTTACTCCAGCGCACATTCTGCTGGACACAGGCCTCTACCTCTCGCTGGGGTTACCGTGATTAGTCTCGAGCAAGCTATTGCTGCGCCCTTTTGCACTCGACAACTTGCCGATCTTGGAGCTCGAGTCATTAAGGTCGAACGACCAGGTGTTGGAGACTTTGCGCGACATTACGACACGCGAGTCGGTGGTCTAGCATCGCACTTTGTCTGGACGAACCGCTCCAAGGAGAGTTTGGCTCTGGACCTCAAACGTGACAAAGACCATGCCATCCTGATGAAGCTCCTTGAGAAGGCCGACGTTCTCGTTCAGAACTTGGCTCCCGGTGCCAGTGCGCGACTGGGGCTTTCTCACGCAGCATTGAAAGAGAAACACCCTGGTTTGATCGTGTGCGATATATCTGGATATGGGCAAGATGGTCCATATCGCGACAAGAAAGCCTATGACCTTCTTATTCAAAGTGAGGCTGGAATGCTGTCTGTCACGGGCACTGGAAAAGAGCTGGTAAAGGTTGGCATTTCTATCGCCGATATTTCTGCGGGAATGTATGCCTACAGCAACATTCTGTCGGCACTACTGCAGCGCGGTAAAGATGGGCAGGGTTGTCAGATTGACATCTCTATGTTAGAGAGTATGGTGGAATGGATGGGCTTCCCCATGTACTATGCATTCGACAGTGCTCCAAGTCCAGTACCAGCAGGCGCCTCGCATGCGGCCATCTATCCTTATGGACCGTTTGAAGCGGGTAATGGCCAGTCGGTTATGTTGGGCATTCAGAATGAGCGCGAATGGGTCAGTTTCTGCAACGGTGTGCTCTCACAACCAGATTTAGCCACGGATCCTAGATTTTCAAGCAACTCACAACGAAGCCAAAATCGGGATCAGCTCAAATCTATTATTCACGATGTGTTCTCAAAGTTCACGACAGAGGAAACAATTGCTCGGTTGGACGAAATGTCGATCGCCAACGCTAGTGTCAATGACATGAAAAATGTCTGGGACCATGCTCAGCTTCAAGCGCGAAATCGATGGACCAAGGTTCAAACTCCTGTGGGAGTCATTCCGGCTCTTTTGCCTCCCGGATCAACCAAGTCAGCCGAGAAGGATGGACGTGGCGCTCAGATGGGCTCAATTCCACAGGTTGGAGAACACAATGAAGCGATTCTTGCGGAGCTGGGTCTATCAGATTGATCCCATGTACAATCCATATTATAAGAACCCGAGGATTCACACAAGACGATTTGATATTCTTGCTCACACGAAGCGCATATACCCCTTGAGCGCGAATGCCACCTGTCTGCACTCGCTCCTATAAAACAGTATCCAGAGAATCAACTGCGTAGATGCAAGTTAACTAACTAACGTATTTCACTACCGAGCTGGCCACCCCGGAACACCATAGTGAAAGGCTGTTTTTGATAAGCTTATATCGTAATAACCATAACCTTAATTTAATTAATTAATTATATATATATATATCGATAAGCATTTCCTACCATCTTTGGAAGTTTCAAGTGAAATAAAAAGTCGGATAACGATGATACCATAAATTACGCTGTAATTTAGTTACTTTAGCTGTAGATATATATGTCTTGAATACCCTATTATAAAAATTCCCTTGAACTTGTCGAAGAGCTATATCATGTACCTTGAACATGACCCTTTAATGTGAAATATATATAATCCCTATTGTTGGGATATAGCACTGTAATTTATCGGATTAGCTATGGTGTTCCGGGGTGGCCAGCTAGGTAGTGAAATACGTTAACTAACCTATCTCAAGGCCAGGGCCAGTATGTGCAGAATACCTTGAAAACTGTAATTTGCTGCGAGGTAAATTCACATGTCCTGTTTCAAAGAAGACGCTAACATTCTCTATGAACTCTGGTATCATCAGAGCAGTCATTTTCGGCGACAATTCTACAGATATCCACGTTCAAAACGCAGTTGGATATCGAAATTAGTATTGTGGTCAAATTTTGCGTTACTACAGGAATCGATACAGAAACTCGAGGTTCTGTGGGTTCAGATAGTCCGGATTGGACAGTGAGCCAGCAAGGCCCATAACATCATCACCCTCCACGTTAAACAGCTCATACCAGTCCATATTAATTGCTACCTCTTCCCCGGGATTATGGTGAGGCATTGTGTGAGTAGTCTGCAAGAGATCGTCCGCTGCGTTAGGAGAAAGGGGTCTATATAGACCACAGGCAGGAGACGCAGGTGACATCTCAATATTTCGACCGCCTATCTGTGATGTTGATAATGGTATAGCAGGATCGGCTAATCGGAGATCACGAGCAGTACGATCATCCAAGCACCGGAAGAAGAGATCCAAGACCCAGTTTTCCAAGTCCCATGATTTCTGCAATTCCTTCAAGCCCAATAGGCATAACTTCGCCCTGTGTTCTGCTAACTTGCGGGCTGTGCCTGTGACCCGTCCGAAATGAATAGTGTGTATACATAAAGCCGAGAAAGTGTGGGTAATTCTGCTTTTGTGTTAGTTTTAAATGAGTTAGTGATCGTTAGAAGAACTCACAGGTGAACTGATCCATGTTGCACCAGGTTTTCTGAGAGCATGTCCTCTAGAATGCGGGTGCTTTGTGTTGCTGCATCCAGGGCGACGTTTCCTTCTGGATTTGCCAATTGACCTGGGGGGTGTAAGAAAATCGGTCGGTACAGGAGAATGTACAAATTGCTGTATGAATGTCAGCCGAAAAGGCTCTCGGCTATTACTATTAGGGCAGCAATACATACTTATAGGCCATATGAAGCATGCCAACCAGGAACATGGCTTCCCTGCTCATGGGCATTTGAAACTGCATTTCTTTCGGAAGGCGCGACCTCCAGTCATCTAAACGTCGACGGAGCATTGGCCGAGCTCCATTTTCTAATTTGGATCGACCAGGTAGATACTGGCTGCAGACGATTTCCCGCACTGATGATAAATCTGTTAGCAAATGCGATACGGTGTTCCAGGATATCGTACATAATCTGGCTAGCTGAGCCATCCCAATCACGTAGGGAATGTGGACTCCTGGTGGTATCCGGAATATTTCAGGAGGTCGCATAGGCTCGCCTTGCTCAAAATCTACAGCTTCAAGATCAGCGATTTGACAGTCTTCATCGCGTATTCGAGGTGGCAGCCCCAAAGCTGCCGATGTTTGTTGATCGCGAACCTGAAGAAATTTTAACCTCCGGGTCTTATAAGCGAATATTAAGAAACGAGGAGCGTACATATAAAGCCCACCAGATTCGTTTCCAAAGCTTTTGGTCTTTGGGATTGAGGAAGGACAATTTAGACCTATGCATGTCAGCGTATATTCGGACTCAATGAAAATGGGATACACGTCATACATGACATGCATGCCCTTTTTCTGGGCAAGGCTGATGGCAGCTCCAAGCCAGAATCGAACATCGCGCTCCTCGGTTGGGCTTCCACGCCAAAAGCTCAGGAGAAACAACGATTGCAACTTTGTAATCGTATCGGTCTCCCAACCTGAATCATAAATATCCTTTGCTCGTTGATAGAATAGTTCTTTGGCTTGGTAGCGATTATGGACCCCCGTGGTGTTCAAAGCTGTATCCGAGCATAGGCTCACTCCAATGAAGAGCATTGACTGGAAGAGCAATGGTGACAGTGTGCCATCTTGATACTGACTTTGCAGATCTGCCCGATCGAGAATTGGAAAACATGGATGGAGCCAGTCAAAATAAGCTTGGACTAACGCATCGCAGATAGCAGCCGACGGGAATATGAGGGCCCCTTCCCGGCTAAGACGATCATGTATCAACTTGCGCCGGGGACCCAGTGAATCATGGCTACTTTCCGTTGCACCACTAATCTCAGAGATGGAGTAGTGAAGTCGGCCTTTTTGGATACTGCATGCGTACCCCTTGTCTGGAGATCGTCGCCCTTCATCCACAACGCAGGTGAGAGGACTTGACTCGCCGAGGAACACGGTTTTATGGATTGCATCCTCCGCTGTTACGGGACGAGCCGGTGGGTACTGAGAGCTCAGTCCGGGTAATGGGAATTGTCCCTGTGTGACTCGGGAATCCGACGAATTTGCGGTGTTACTCGGCGTTGTGGATGTTCGGGCGGATCCCTTTCTTTTTCGGCGAGGATATCTGCCTAGAATGAGTAGAAATTCGAGCAATTCTCATGATTTCCTTACTTGCCACGGCGCGAAACCCCTACTTCACAAGTGAGATTCCATGACACACAGTTTTGGCAGGGCTGCATTTCTAACACGTTGCACCGCACGCGACGCGAGTTACATGACAGGCATGCTTTCTTTGCCCGCGTGCGTGGCCGATCTGGACTTTCGGTCTCCATAGTTAACAGGAGAATCGGCTGTTTTCATTCAGATAATATTTGAATATTTAAAAGGTCAGGGATTCTTTTGTCCTGAAAAAGGTGGGGCTCGGCTTCTTCGGCTATATGGCCTCGGTGTTTTGCCGATATCTTCATGTTCATCGTAGGAGCGGAATTTCTTATTTATAACTTTTATGACTCGGAATATTGAAAGTGCTTGATAATCCACTATTATTCTTTTGATCTCACAGCGTTAGATTGTGAGTTTGTCGCATTGAGGATAATGCACACCCTAGACGTTTGTGTCACATGTAGTTATCTCCCAGACCGAACTTGCATCCGACTTGATCGATCCGCAATCGTAAGAAGAGCGTAGGGATATTGTATAGGAGGCTTGCATAACAAGGAGAATACTTGATAATTGACAGTCGCATGAAAGAGACTATCGTGAAGTTCAAAAAGTATCAAGCAGCTAATAGTCTACTAGCAAGAGGGCTCCCATAGGTGTTGATAGAGTCTGGCGAGTCGAGCGGCTACAAAAGCGGACTTTAGATCGTCGTGTTCGAGGTTTTCTAGCCTTTCCAAGATAGGTTGAAAGGGCTTGGTTGGCAAGCTATGTCTTGTTTTTGCTTCCTGTTGCGACGGGGAGACCTGAGGTGGTCAGCATTTGAAATGCATTTGAAGCTGTGTCATTTCAATTACCAACGGTGGGACACGGGCAGAAGTTCCCTGCGATTTGTCTTTAACCATCGGCAATTCACCGGACTACTGGTCTCCTTCATTTCCTGGCCTGACGAGCGGTTTGGGGCATCCATTTTGTCCACAGGAGAAAATCAAGGGTCTGGGCAGTGCCGTTTCCATCAATCCTTGTTGTCCCTTATGGACTATACAGATATAGGTGACTATGCATTGAATTCACGACTTAGTAATCTGATCCAATATCCTTTAAAATTAAATCATTGAATGATTCTTATGTTGGGATAGGGCTGATTGTAAAGGTCAAAAAGTTCCGTTGGCTCTGATACTAGTTTCTTTTCTACGGTGGACGCATTCGTCACTTCCAACTCCACCTCCGTCAATAACACTGCCAGGAATACTTTGACCTGCTGTAAGACGAAGCCGATACACGAACACCACCTGTTTCCCGTGAGAAAAGGCAAATACTTGCACTCCCCCACCATGGGTATTCGGGAGGAGTCTGTCCTATCGCTCTGGTCGAAATCGTGAGGCATCCTCGCCCCAGACATGAGGGTCTTGATTTAACATCGCAATGGAGACAGCCACGCGAGGCTGCACCAGAATGACAAGGCTGGCACTGGATTGAGTTTGCACGTTGAGGGGGCGATCAATGGCCTAGGCGGTAGTCAGGATAGGGGGCTGTAGGCGAACCAGTTCGTCCACCACCGCATCGAGGTAAGGAAGTTGCGACAGGAGTTGCAGCTCCCGGCGATGGTGCCAGCCACTTTCTTAGAGCTCTACGCGGAGCTTCTGCTTCACCTCGGGGTATACGGATAGCTCCCTAAGCGCCCAGAGGAGAAGCGTCGGGGCGGGAAACCAGAAGATTTGCCTTACGTAGGCGAGAAAATCCGGGGTGACGGGTGTGCTGCGCTCCCTCCTATCTCATAGGATATCCTCTGGAGGAAATTCATATGCTCGTGGGTTTTCACAGCCTCCGGGTTGAGGAGGTCCGCGTTGGACTCCAGAAGCTAGATGATACACTTTTCATTGCTTTTATAGAGATCATCCTCGTAGTAATCTGGTTCTTCAGAATCCCGAGCGCACAGAAGATTCAACACGGTGTGATGGAGTGGATACGACATACTCGCCGCCATCTGGACATACTTGGCGAACGGCTCCTGCCATTCCCTCGTACATTCGGAGGCATTCTCTAACCCGAGCCCCGGACGCCAGACCGCGTCCATGGCATAATCCTACCGGAGACTTTGAAGATTATCACTCAACCCGACGTTTCGGAGTCTTTAGACGTGGTCCGTCACAATCGAGATCAGCTTCGTATTAAAGCCCTCCATAGCGGGTCTGTTATAGAAACCCCGGGTCATATCGGCGTGCCAATGTCTGGCGACGTCGCCATCGGCGGTAATCAGGGCACTACGAATGATACGTTTGCCGGTTCTAAAGGGACCTCTGCTCTGGGTTCCACACCGACTAATAGATTCCGCGTTTTTAACAAACACCTGTCGGATGAAGGCGGGGTCGAAGGTATACCAAGGGCACACCGCCAATAAGCGTCTAGGATATACCATCCTCCGTGGCTGCGTTAAAAAGGGCGCTTATCGACGTTGAATAGAAATCATAGGACCATTTCTCTAAAGGGATACCAGGGTAGGAACCAGGAGGCCTATAGGATGTCAGGAAGCGGATTGTTTCGGAGACTGAAGAAGGTGCCTAGCGTAGCGGAAATTGTCTGGAGCATTTTGACCGCTGGAATAGGGATTCAGTCAACTGGTTGATAGGTATCAGCGGCTGACATGGGCTTAAGTGTGCGAACTACAATCACGTAGGAGAGTACAGATTAGGTGTGAGCACCAACTTTATATCCCTCCAATGTAAGGTGATGATATTTAGTTGCTTCCGAGGGTGGTCGGATATCGATCGCGCCCCGCAAGGCGCAGAGTCTGTGATATACGCATGTTTGCACATCCCAACGAATTAAGCCAGGGAATTGCTATAGCCTGTGGATTTCCAGAATTGAAAAAGTTCGGCAAAAATGCCCCGATTTAGAAATTGATCAACACATTGGCAAGCTGGATATGGATCACACTACTGCATCCCACTCCAGACCAATCGTTCCTAGTCAGCTCGCATCACAGCTGAACTCATATTTTTGGTTTTTTTTAAAAAAGATATTCAATCCTATTTTTGTATATCTCTTTTGACTTTGATAAATAATTTAGTCTATTTTCTCGATTCTATGTAAACTTTCTTTAAATTAGACTTATCTGGTCCACCAAATTGTCAGAGCTGGCTCCGTATGGTGATTTAGGGACGATCATCCATTATATCCATAATATAATATTGTTCCCCCGGGGCTGAACAGGGCCACTTCACCGATCTGTGCACTCAGCAGTCCCCTTCAAGAGTCCATCTCTGTTTCGAAATCTGAAGCCTTCCAAATTCTACCCTCCAACATGGTTCAGTACAAACTTTTGGCATGCCTCCTCGTACCCTTCCTGATCATGATCAACTGGCGTGCCTCCCACAGCCGCAGAGTTTCCACCAAGATCCCCGAATCTGTTGATCAAAATGCGATCATTCGGGCTCTACACGACCAGCCGAGCTTCATCAAACTGAATCCGGTGATTATAGACGTAAACCAGGTCCCGACCGACCCCGCGACATACGAGGTCGAATTGTTTCAAACCAAGAATTGGAGTCCCATTGAGACATATCTACTAAACAGCATGATTACGATCATACCAGGGATTGGTCCATTGGGCCAGAAACACATTCGGTTCGGGACCTGGTTGAGAAATACCGAGTTCGGCATCAAGACCTACGCCGATGCACCATTTGGTGTATCTGTGGGAAGCCAGTGGATGGTGCAGCCAGACATTACGGGTGGTGCAGAACGTAGGAATACAGGCTCCCTTTTGGAATATTTAACGCTCACCAGGATTCAGGATGGATGCTAGTCGTTGAGAGAACCGTCGAGTGTGTATGGTGGTTGACGCCCTTTGTGGCATACACGTATGATGGAGTCCATGCTAGCGTTGGTCGAGATTTGCTGGAGTCAGCTGGGATGAAGGGGGCTTAGCTTTACACGAGCAGGCTGTTCCTGAACCGGCATACATGGATATACCAATATGCGCTTAATTAGGTGGCATGGTATCTCTCTTTGGCAGAGTGGTAAATTTGATTGATAGGTGATCGTGGAATTGGCAGTGTGTGTGTCTGAGGGCGGGAGAAATGACAATATTCAAATGGATAATAAACAATGACATAAAGCAGAGCACGGGCGCGTCCGGTTAGTCGGTCTCTATTTATATGAGCTGGGACTGGGTGAGAAATTACATGCATTTCATATTTATCGAGTTCTGCTCCGCCTATCTATCTATTGCTCTGCCCACTTTACCGCGAGACCGTCAAGTCGCAGGGAAATTCTAGAATCAACTACAATAGGATACTCAATGGAGAAGACTATGCAGCTTGAATCAGAAAATGTACGGACGGGAGAGAGAGAAGAGAGAGGGAAAGATCTATCTACCAACTAGCAAACAGGATCTGTCCCAACTGATGCCTGATCCCTCAGGTATCAAGGCACCCAACAGAAATCATAGTTATAAGTTACCTCTAACCCTCGTAGCAGGAAACAATTCTGTCGAATCCAAGGTGGAATACAAAGGACATGGTTAAGACAGGGTATTATACTCAGAAGACCATGTGACCAATGGTAACTACCAGTCATACCATACAAAAGAGCCTGAACCTGGGGACCTCAGCATATTAAAGTTAGTCATCATGTCCGCACAGATTGTGAACTATTGCAGTTTTGTCATTTTAGTTCGAGAGTTCAATACCACTGAGGTTGCCCATACATTGTTGTACAGGCAGATTTCCGTCACAGATCACTAAGTCTGAGTTCGTGCCCAGGTGGTGACATCTACTCATTGATCCTGAGCCTGAGCGCTCTCATAAAGCGATGGCAGCTCGGATAGGAAAAGCCCCACACGGCAGACATTATCCTGTCTATATATGCACAATATCACGCGTCTAGAGGGTATTCCGGGATATTCTAACCCTTTCAGCCTTGAACAGTTCACAAGATGCTTACAATATAAGTATATCGTGAAATGGATCACAATCGGACTTCATTCCCTCCACAGACTTTTGGCCGAAAAGACTGCCGATCCACGGTGGAACTGGGTGGACCTGGATTAGTAACCAAGATCGAAGGGTTAGAGGATAAAAGAAGCTATGTGCCCTATGTGCCTCAAATTGAATATAATTTATCACCCAAAAGATACATATCATTAGTATATATTTTACCCTTTTTCACCATGTCTCCAAGGTTTCCCAGCGAAAATGTCGACGTATCGCCTCTTGGGGCGCCTTTGCAGTTCGAATTCAGTCAGCGCAAAGCTTCGAATCGTTTTCTGAAGGCCGCTCTGACAGAAAGAATGGCCTCTTGGTCCCCGACTGATCTTTCGGCTCGAGGTATTCCCGGCCAAAATCTCATCAATCTTTATCGTCGGTGGGGAGAGGGTCAATTTGGACTTATCCTCACCGGCAACATCATGATTGCATACGACCAGCTAGAGTCACCAGGAAACATGATCATTGATCTGGAGAACCCATTCGCTGGTGAAAGGTTTGAAGCATTCAAGCAATTGGCCACTGCCGCCAAAAAGCACGGAAGTTTGATCGTTGGTCAGGTCAGCCATCCTGGTCGTCAGACATTTGAGAAGCTGCAATCCAATCCGGTTTCTGCTAGCGATGTCCAGCTCGTCGTGGAGAAATTTGGCACATTTGGAAAACCCCACGCAGCTACCGAGGAGGAGATTCAGGATATTATCCGCCGCTTCGTGCACGTAGCCGTCTACCTGCAAAAGGCTGGGTATGATGGTATTCAGCTGCATTCCGCCCATGGCTATCTCCTCGCGCAATTCTTGTCCCAGACAACGAACAAGAGGACAGATGAATACGGTGGGAGCTTGGCCAATCGTGCACGGATTATTGTGGAAATCGCCCAGGCTATTCGCCGAGCAGTCTCGGATCCCGGCTTTATCATTGGAATCAAAATTAACTCGGTGGAATTCCAAGAACATGGATTTACCCCCAAGGAGTCAAAGGAACTGTGTGAGATCCTCGACCAGACCAACTTTGACTTTGTCGAGCTGTCCGGAGGAACTTATGAGGCTGGTGCCTTCCAGCACAAGCGGGAGTCTTCGCAGAAGCGAGAATCATTCTTCCTGGAATTTGCAGACCTCATCACTCCTGCTCTCAAGCGCACGCGCAGTTATGTGACCGGGGGATTTTGCACAGCGCCTGGAATGGTCCAAGCTCTAGAAACAGTTGATGGCGTTGGTCTTGGCCGTTCCATTACGCAGGAGCCTCGCTTGCCAAAGGAACTGCTCGCTGGAACTGTTCAGGGTGCAATCCAGCAGAAAATTGATCCCCAGGACTTTTTCAAGACAAGCCCTGCTGCTGGCGCACAAATGCTGCAGATCGCACAAGATGAAGAACCGATTGACCTGAGCAATGATGCCAACATGGAAGTTTTCATGAAAAGTCTTGGGGAGTGGGCGCAACAGATGCAGAAGGACGGGCCTGCAATGAATATGTACGGTTATGCCCAGCTTCCCAAGGGTCAACCGTTCCAAAGTCACCTGTGAAAGCAAGGCCAAGGGAAGTAGGGGTGCCGAGAGTCACAAATATATGTCTAGTTACATTTCATTCTATATTTGAAACATATTGATAGCTACGAACTTTGTCTACTATCGGTTATGCCATGATTATAATCCATGTCAACGCAGCCGAGAACATTAAGAATACATTTGCTCATCGATCTGTCCATTTCTGATTGTTAGTCAGTGCGTCCGAGCAATGCATGGATGTGCTACAGGAATGTAGGGGCCAACTCCGATAACAAAACATTTCCACCGAGGAATGCCGAACATGGTCTTCTCACATTATCGGCTGAATAATAATAATAACAGTTGTATTTGCCGAGCATTTGCAAGGTCTTGGCCTATTGGCGCTCGTATTGTAGTAGCATATAGCTAACCAGGACATCCCTCAGTGTTGTTCATCTCACTATCCGATCATTGTCGACAAGATGCACCTCCATAGCACCTTGCTCAGCGGCCTAGCTATCCTTCCAGTGGCTCTAGCTTCATGGCCTTTCTTCGAACACACTGCAGAGATATCGGCAACCTCTTACCGCAATGAGAAGCCCAATGTGAAAGTCGAGACCCTCTTTCAATTTCCCAACAATGGCTCATGGATCGACAATATGGTCGTCCGATCAGACGGCAACCTTCTTTTGACACGTCTCGACACCCCCGAAGTTTGGCTTTTCGACACCACAAGCGGCAACGCGACCCTCGCCCATTCCTTCCCCAACGTCACCAGCTGCTTCGGAATCAGTGAAATTGAGGACGATATCTTCGCAGTTGTTGTGGGCAATTTCTCCCCCAAAACCTTTCAGCCAGGTCCAGCCTCGTTCTCGGTCCACAAGTTGGATTTCACCAAGGTCGATGCTGAGGAGAATGAGCGGGCGCTGAAATCGCCAACGGCCTCGGAGATCGTCGCAATGCCAGAGGCTGAGGCCTTGAATGGCATGACCACTCTCTCACGGGAGTCGAATTTGGTTCTTATTGCCGATAGTCCCAAGGGGGTGATATGGAAGGTTGATGCCAAGACAGGAGATTATTCTGTCGCACTGAATGATACTACAATGGCTCCGGCGGAGGGTCAAGCTCTTCCTCTAGGTGTTAATGCCCTGACGGTACTTGGTGACTACGTGTACTATACCGGTACGACCCAAATGGTGTATTGCAGAGTCAAGGTGGACAAGGATGCCAAACCAATCGGAGATTTCGAGGTTATTGCCAGTGGATTCCTACCGGATAACGTCGAGATGACCGAGGATGGCGTTGCGTATATTCCGACAGCTCCTCAGAACTCCGTTGTGCGCCTTACGCCTTCAGGGCAGATCTCCCTCGTTACGGGTGGCCAAGTATCTACGCAGCTGGCAGGTCCAAGCTCGGTCCGATTGAGCAAAGACCGACAAATAATCTATGTCGGCACTAACGGTGGTCAAATTGCGCCTGTTTTGGGCTCATTCATCGAGCCCGCAAAGATCGTCAAGATATCGTTCGAAAAATAGAGGGAAAACTTGATGATATGGGAATACCTTGCAATCGACGTGGACATTCGAAGCTGACGACGAACGAGATTCTTTAATTGGAAGGGCTGGATTTCTTGGATTTCTTGGCTAGCTTATTCTATAATTTGATATATCAAGCGCACTTTAGCCCTGACCTCAATTACCTCTCTCCGTGGTAACTCGACATATCAGTCGCCATCTTTCACATCAAAGCTTTTGTGGGCGAAGCAATGCCTCACGCGAGGGTATCAGCTCTGCCGCCGTCATACGGTGGAAAGTGAGATAGTGTCCTCGTCAAGTGGGAGCTTCTCTGGGACCCAATGATCTGGATCCTCGCAAGACTGAATTCACGGTCTTGGCCAAGTAAAATAGAACCTGCCTTGAAGACACATGAAGACGGAGAGATCTCGCGAGAAGCAAGTTCAAATGTTTGCACATGCGCCTGCAGTCATGCTCATACTTGTTTCCCCAGCCATTTTGGCTTGGACTGGTTCCATCGAGGCCAAAGTAGCTGGCCATGAACGGTTATTTAAGGGACCAGGGCCTAAGTATAGCCGTGTCAGCAATATTGAGCGCTTCGCCGTTGGCTTCCTCGGGTTTCACAATGGAACCATCCTCTGGGCACTCTAATGGCGAATCTGGGTCTGGTCTACATCCAGACATCTCGTCACCTGGTCAACTAGCGAATGCCCCCGGACCACCTCAAAGAGTTGCCCCGTCCAATCGTTCCAGAGTAAATCTTGGACTTTGAAATCATGATCATGTCCTATGACGGGTCGGTGTATGCATATGTAAAGTTGGCCCTGGTACCCAGGAAGATGACGCCAGGATCAGGCCCAACGAGGAATCTGTAGGGGGATAAATACAGGGCCAAAGGTTCCATGGTGGTCATGCCAGAAGCATTGGGCACGAACCATATGGGCACACCGATCATCTCACACATTTTATCACTATACGATACTCTCCAATGGATGGATGAAGCATTAACCAATTGCAATCGCAACTCCTGTGAGCGATTATTCCCGGAAGTGGAGTTAATCTGACCTGGCTGAGCTTGTAGATGACTTCAGTCTGGTTGCAATGAGAACAGATTGGGAGCATGGACGATGTTCTCCGAGCCCAAACCCGTGCAAATCGTGATACGTGCCATGCATCTTGCGGGGCCGATGTTCATCCATTATCGAGTAGGGCAAATCAGATGGCCTTCACAGGTAAATGATCAACTTGGAGAGTGGCGGTGAAGTTGGCGGATTGGCAAAGCGCACCAAATAGATAGTCGTTTATGTCGTGTTACTATGTAGCGGGTGAGGATGAGATCCAGGACAGGAAAAGCTGCTATGTTAGAGCCTGACTTCAGTAATGTGTTTGTGCCTCAGATGACTGAAATTCCACCACTGAGGTTTCTTCTTACATGTTGAGATCAGAGTTGACGCCTGAGGCAGCGCGCCCCGGAGAAGAAAAACAATTAGGTAAGCAGGATGGTCCCGGCCTGGATTGACGTCATATGCCCAGATGTCTCCGCGCTTGAGTAACAGAACGGTGCAGCCTTGCAGGACAGTTTCTGTTCTGTCACACAGTCGAATTTCCAACATCAAAATGCCCGGACACTTCGGCCAAAAGATACTCAAGACCTTAGGTCTCAACGATCATGCCCATCAACAGAACTCACCCGCTGTCCGACTTCCAGGCAGACCAGCCGTGAACAACGATGAACACGGATTATCTTCACCTCCCAACAATGGCACGTACCCTCGTCTCTGCAGGCTCTCAGATGGCACCATTCTTTCGTCCTTTACCCGATTCCCCGATGGACAACGGTCACTTCGCGTCGCAAAAAGTACCGATAACGGCCGCACGTTCGAAGACTTCTCCGAGGTAACCCGCGCTGCTGGCGACGTGGATAACATGTTTTTGTGTGAGGTGGCTCCGGGGATAGTACTGGCGGCTTTCCGCAATCATGACACGGGTCCGAATGGCCCCACACACTTCCGCATCACTGTCTGCCGGTCTACGGATGGAGGTCGGGTCTGGCAATATGCTTCGCAGGCAGCCGAGAAGCGCCCTCCTTTAGGCATTTGGGAACCCTTCATGCGTGTCGGACGACAGGGCGAAGTGCAGCTTTATTTCTCGCAGGAATTCGCGCATAACAACCAATGTACCATGCTAGTGGTCTCGTGGGATCAAGGAAGTACCTGGACTCAACCGACCTGTCTGCATGGTGACCAAGATCCACTTCGCGATGGAATGTGTGGAATTGCACGAACTCTTGATAACGGTCGCGAGGCTCTTCTCATGGTATTCGAGACCACCCGATACGGACCGTTCAGTGTTGAAGCGCTTCTATCCTATGATGACGGCGCCACCTGGGGCTGGCGCCATGAAGTTTTCCGCCCACGGCAGAGTCATAATGCAGGCTCTCCTCAGATTGCATCTTTTGCGGATGGATCCATGGCTACGATATTCATGACGGACGAAGACTCCCAACACGTGGAATGGGTAAAGAATGCCTCTATCAAGGTCGTATTTGCTGGCCCGCCAGTTGAAGGGCGTGTGCAATGGAGCTCGCCGACCCTTGTTTCCCCGGCGTCGAGCTTCTGGCCTGGGATCATGGCATTGAATCACCACAACGTGCTAGCCACTTATGACCGTGGTGGACCGCTTGCGAAGACCATCACCTGGCATCCTGCGTAGACATCTGATCTCCGATGTATTTTGTATCTGGCGAGAGTCTTGAGACTGGTTCCAGGGTTTTCGTCATTTGTTCCTTCCACAAGTGGGTTTTCCTTCGCTGGGCGATTCGATCTCTGTGTTCTTTACAAATTTCGAGTGGATCTTATGGTCCCAGGATGGATAGTTGAATGCGTATCAACTATGCTTTTATCAGGGCTTCCTTGTAGTCCACTCCAAATAAATATGTATGCTACAGCATGTTATTCTCCCTTTTTGGTCCGCGACACACCCGGCAGTAATCATCCGAGATCGGCCTCAACCTGCATCTCCAGACAATTTGCGTGTTTCAGATCGGATGCCGGGACTTGGAGGTGGCGTTCGGTTTTTGGCGGATATAGACTACTCCGCTGCCTCGGGATTAGCCGAATTGGGAGATTCTCGGAGTTAATCTGATAATTCGATCAGATTACAAAGGGGCCAGGACTATTTATGAAGGTTCTTCTGGGTGACCTTGGAAGTTCCACTCAAACTTCATCTTCGAAGATGGCAAACTCACTGCGAAATATTATTGTTGTTGGCGGCTCGTTCGTCGGGCGTGTAAGTTCATTCTGCTGCCCAACACAGACAAGTAACCACTAATGTCAGTACAGACGACAGCTCAGGAGCTTGCACGCATTGTGCCTTCAACGCACCGGGTAAGCTACCATTTAAATCTACATTGAAAGACGAAGCTAATTCTTTGCGCAGGTCCTCTTGACTGAGCCTCATAGCCACTTCCACCATCTTTTCACCTTTGTAAGTGGACTTCAATACCAGTGGACATTCGTCGCAGTAAGCCTCAAGATCTAACATGGCCCATAGCCTCGGTTTGCAATCGTCCCCGGTCAGGAACACAAAGCGTTTATTCCGTATAGTGGGATCTTCAATGCGTCGCCCAATCCCTCCTCCCATGGAGTAGTCCAGGCTCGCGTTTTGTCGGTCAAGCCCACCCATGTTGAGTTGGACCGTGAATGGCAGGGCTCAAGAGATGTTCCCTTCGACTACGTTGTTGTTGCCACTGGTACGCGTCTATCCAAGCCTGCGGCTATGGACGATGATGATAAGGCATCATCAGTGGAATATCTGCAAAAGCATCAAGCCGGAGTTAAGAGATCCCAGTCGATTTTGATTGTCGGCGGCGGTGCTGTTGGTGTCCAAATGGCGACCGATCTGAAGGAATATTATCCGGAGAAGGAAGTCACCGTGGTTCAATCCAGGCCCCGGGTGATGCCAAACTTCCACTCTAGGCTCCATGACCTTATTAAGGGACGATTTGATGAGCTGGGAATCCGACTCATCACTGGTTCTCGAGTCGCTATCCCGCCGAGTGGTTTCCCCAACGATGGCAGCACCTTTGATGTTCAGCTGACAAACGGTACCACCGAGTCTACGCAATTCGTCATCTTGGCCACCGGCCAAACACCAAATAACCAACTGGTGGCTGACCTGAAGTCATCTCACCCTGACAGCGAGTCGGTCATCAATCCGGATAATGGGTTTATTCGCGTTAGACCCACTATGCAGTTCTTGGATGGGCAATATTCGAACCTGTTTGCCGTGGGTGATATTGCAGACACCGGTGCCCAAAAGGCCGCTCGGCCAGGTTCGGCACAGGCAGCTGTTGTTGCGAAAAACATACAGGCTTTGATCGAAGGCCGCGCTGCTGAGGACACGTTTGTAAAGGGACCTGGGGCTATTCATTTGACACTCGGCATGGTAAGTCAATCGGCTTCACGGAGACTCATCGAGATTTGACTAGGCTAACTGTTCTCAGAAACACAATGTGATTTTCCGCAATCCCAATACCGCAGAAGGCCAGACAGAGCCTTGGCTCAACCCAAAGGATGAGTGAGTTCCTTTTCTTCTTTCATAATCCCAGCAGAAGCTAACATCTTCACCAGTGGCCGAGAGGATATGAATGTGGAAGCTATGTGGGAGAGGCTGGGTATCTCGATTGATAACCCTCGTCAATATCACCTGTAACCATTTCAGGCATGAGAAAAATAGATTGTCGCCATCTTTCATCAATCAATTTAAATTTCTTTTCATATTGATACGCGAGAGTCGGCTCATGTTCGCCCTAGTCCGTAGAACGACATCATTACTGGAAGTGAAGAATATCAGCCATATACAAAGATTATTAATCATGTTCACTCTCGATGGACGAACTGGATTTACCCTTTCTGCCAACGTGAAGGCGAGGAGTCTGAGTATGCTGCATACGCTGCTGTATTGTTGTCGTTCAAAGGAAGGGACGACTTATTGCCCGCATAGCAAGGAAGGAATGGTCTTCAAGTTGAGACTGGCCAGCACGTTAAATGGGATTTGTAATGGGCAGTCAACAGTGTGAATAGAAATTGAAATGTAACAAGTACCGGCGACAGAAAAGAGGCGATGCATAGTACTGTAAGCCTAAAGCCTAAGGGCTCATGCTACTCCAAGGTGGAGAAAGGAATCTTTGCCATGACGATTCTCCTTTAATTCTTCCCGAACTTGTTTCTGATAGGCTCGGCATACAAACTTTCTTTGCTGCAGATAAGATGGACCAGTGGGCGCTAGCTGGCTGCGAGGAAGCGGAGAGAATCAGAAGTCAAGTCTCGATTGGGTACGAGAAATCGTTGGGGAAGTTTCATATGATCCGTGACTTGATATTGAAATCATTAAATCGGAGGTGATAGATAGATATCCCCGTCAGGAGGCATACTGTCATCATCTCCATCCCTATACGGCCAATCACGCCAACAGGTCTCCCGCTGATCCACCTCTGCTTGCCGAACCATTTCCATACGAAACTGTCGATTGCCCTCCACTGCCTTGTCAAAGTTATCTGGCTCGGTTCCGCCTTCCGGGTCAATACTGAGGTGCTCTCTAACCCGAGACAGTAGCTGCTCAGACTCGTTGTTCATCGCTGGACACAACCGGACAAACTGCCGAGGAGATGCTGCCCTATACCGATGGAGTCATGATGCGTACTAACGCAGCGCGTAGTTTAATCACGTCTGCGTCCTAGGAATACCCTGTCTGGCGAAGGAGATACTATAGGCATTCCGAGTTGAGGAAGTTTCAATATATCCATGTGTTCGTTATTGGGTTTCGTTATTGTGTAGACCTGTCGCGGCTGTGTAGTAGAGGTTGGCCTCTTTAAGCGAAAGAACGGCGCTGGATTTTCTCTGTTGGTCGATACCTATATTATCGAAATCATCCGGGAGAGATAGAATACGTAGACTTTGAGGCTGGGAGTCGTGCTCGCAGAATGCGGGATAACCTGCTTGTATGAAGCGTAGGGATATCACGACATCCTACTCATCAATAATACTAATGATTTTGAGTTGATCTAGGTGCTAATAAAATGTTGCTAAGACTTAAATTAGGGTGTCTCAGCGTTGGAGCTCTGTAAGAACCCGCTCGGATTAAATGAGGCGCCAATTGTAGGAATCGCGAAAGTAACGAGGTGTGCTTAGACAGATGAATGTTATATTCAGTTAGTAGAAGGAATGTCTAGCGAGACTGAGCTTTAGCGTGATACTAATTGACAGCTATCTCTCGGCGAGCCGCGGACGTAATATAGTCCGCGGGTGAAAGCCCTATAGTAATAGTCAGTCTCGGTTATGTGGGTTCTTTTTCTAACACCTAAGAATAAAGGGGGAAGGGGGAAGGGGAGGAACCTGTAGGGCCCACGGTCAATTTCTTTTTTGCTCCGTTCGTCACGCTACAACTGCCGGGCAGACACAGGACCGATATAGAAGTCTTCCACGATTGGTATATGGGTTTCCCGTTAAGGTACTTCTCGTGATATAAGGTTCTATACGTAGGGAAATGGAAGTCAAAAATCTTCCTCTCTATATCTGCGATTTGTGTCATTATGTCTTTCACCTCGTCGGTCGTGAGGGATAACCACCGTGAGGAAAGGCTCTCCCCCTCTACCCGCTCTATTAGAATATACTCTGCTCCGACGGGATTGTCTAGGCTGTTGAATATGCCGAGACCTCTGGTTCGGGCAGTAAGGACAGCTCGTAAAAAGTCTATCGTAGCTACCTCACTAGCGGTTGTGTAATGAGGAGGCCCGGCGGTAGGAGTGGGAATTTGCGTGATCACTTCGCGGCCATTCTTTACTCGCAGAAGAAACACTTTGTTAAAGCCTCCTTCTATAATCTTAGCAATATCAGGGCAATAGTCTTGTTGTACTACTTCGCCGGCGATCCGTTGGAGCTCTGTTGGTCGAAGCTTGACGTATCGTTCGTTTAGACGGTCGGTCTCATTGAATCTAACTGACATTCAGTAATTGTCATCAAAACATAATAGGCTTCACTTACATCCCTCGCCGTGATATATTTTGAAAAAGTTCCTCGCGGAGTGCTGGTGGACTAGTGGATAAGTGATGGCGGGAGGAAATAGGCATGGTAGGCTGCCCGGAACAGACCCACAGTTTACGGAAACTGGAAAACTGGATGATATGCTTCTAGCAATGGCGGGTCTCTGAAGCAACTTTACCATTGTTCAAAAATAATAAGGGAAGGAAAACATTGAGCGCCCAGAGATGTTAGGGATGAGTTCCCTTGTAAATCGACGACTGAAGGAGTGAGAGCGAGCTATGTTTTCTACCTAGGTACATATGTACATATGTAGGGACGGGAATAGAGAGAGGTTAGCTCCATCTGTCATTCGCCTTCCGTGTGATATCCGATACTGGTCGCACTACTCTATTGGCACATATTGAAGGCTATAGGTCTACATATGTACTGACCTGAAGGGGTATTTTGTTTCCCCGCGATCCCCGGATCTCCAAGTCTGCACGTGATCACTGGTAATATTACCGGAAGATTCCGGTAAGATTACTATCATATTACCGCCCTTGTATTTCTCGGTGTTCACTTCTGAGCTCCATTTGTTTCCAAAGCCCGGGAAGCGGGCCTTCAACAATCTGTAATGGCAGGATATCCACAGGGCACAAGAGCTCATCATCCGACATGTCTAGACTTTCAACTAGCCTTAAGGCATTAATCAATGCTCCTGCCGCCCGCCAATCTACCGTCCCAGCGCGAGCAAACATAACCTCGGTCTACCAAAAGTTCCAAGAGACCGCGCAATCCAAGTAGATCTCGCAGCCATCATGGGTCGCACTATCAGTGAGTCGGCACCTTCGGTTAAGACTAAACACGATCCAACATCAATGCCAGGCGGCAGCAACAATGACCATGCACTCCCCCGAGTCCCTCGCAGCCCTCTACTAACTAGCCAGCACCAACCCCGATGAGCAAGTCGAGACCGCCGAGCTTATAGGCGAGGTCGGTCTAAAATGAATCAGTTTCAACGGCATCCCACGCACCATAAACTGCCTCAATGCCTTTGGAGCCAGCCTCCCAGACTCGGTCAGCAGCCAGCTCTCCCGCACCCCCACTCGCGCTCCAACCCCAGAAAACATCACCGCTATCAGTGACCGCGGCCACATACTCTGGGATTCTATCTATCGGCCATTTGAGAAGAAGCTATTCCATAAACCGCCTGACTCACACCCCGACCTGCCGGTGCACATCCTGCACAGCAACTACGGCGCCCTGCTGTCTGATCCAGAGCGTAGCACTGGGACCTCTGCTGGGCGGATTCTAACATCTATTATTGCTGTCTCCTGTTTGCGCGCTCAGTCTGGCGTTGGTCCTCAGGTCATCGCGCATGTGTTTGGGTTGCGGAAGGCGCTTGAGGATGGCTCGTGGGTGAACGATGTCGAGGGGGAAGAGGCTGCACGGTGGTTGGCTAGCGACGAGGGGAATACCTGGATTTTGAATAGCGTTGATGGCATCGTTGAGGATATTAGCCAGGGCGCTGGGTCGAACTTGGCTCCTGCACGCGCGAAGCTGTGAATTTATAGCCGCGACAAGACAAAAAAGCCTCCGGCGGCTGCTCTTGTCCTGTGGCTCTGAGTTCATGCAGCAATTCAGCGGTGTGAATGCTCTTGGATATTATCTTCCAACTCTCTTGCAGGAAAGTGTCGGACTCGGAGAAGAGGAGAGCCGCTTGCTCACTGCTGCTCTCATACCACACATTGATCTACTCTCTACTCCTTCCGTGATGAGAGTACGAGCTTCTTGCTCACCAGCCTGAGCCCTTTTCTACGTTTTCTTTTGATGAAACTGGATGGTCAAAGCCGATTTGGTGGGTATCCTGTCTCCCTGGATCTGCGGACTTTGAGCTGCATTCCCACTGTGAGGCCTCTTTGAAGCCCAGCTATCTAGTCAATCCTAAAACACGAGGCTACACCGACATCGTCGCCGTTTCCGACACGTAAGCACTTCGATGACGCTGCTCTGTACCTCCTACCAAGACTCGTACATCAATAGAGCAATTTGACGAGAGCTATGACCAATTTTACAGACACAATATGGCGCAGAGATCCCATAAGAGAACTCTAACATTGGGAGCTAGTGCCTCAGACAACGACAAAGTCGACGCAGAACCAAATCGACACGGTCTCCTCTTGTGGTCCTTGATCAGGGTACTCATCCGCTATGATCTTTGCAGCCAAGCCATAGGAAAATCGCTCTGGGGACGACGGAACATATCGTTTGCCACCCACCTCGTTTCAGAGTGGTGACTTGACTGTGCAATGACAAGGTCGCGGACATCAATCCAGAACGGGACCCGTGGAACAGGCAGAGGTTTTCCCCATTGGCAATCTTCCACGACATCGCATTCGACTCATTCAGTTTATCCACATGAGAAACGGGGTGCACAGCAGGTCTAAATGTCATAGGAGGGCATAGCGCGACAATGTCGAATTTCGGGCTGTGTTCCTCCACATATTTCCAAGCCTCCAGCTCGGCGAATTTCTTCGACCTGCGATGCGCAATGATGGCATCGGTGGCTGGGCCCACGGACTCCTCGTAAGTCAGAGGGTTCCAATCAGCACCAGTTTAAGTGAAATATGGAGGGCTTTTGCGATTGGTATCAAGGACGGAAGCGAAGGAAGAAGTAATGACGATGCGCTGTATTTTCGGATTACTGCTGGCTGCTTCGAGGACTGCTCGAACACCATCTATTGCGGGACGAAGAAGTTGTTGTTCGTTGTTCATTGTGTTGTATGTGAAGGGCTCTGTGAATGAGTCTTTAATAACTGGAAACAGGCCAGGTCAAAGACACTATAGCTTGCACTGGCCGTATGGATCACTCCATCTACTCCTTGAGCGGCTTCCACCAAGTCACCGGGTCTTTCAAAGTCATCAAATTGAACAAGCTCCAGTCTCTCCGAATGCTGTGGACGAGTCTCGATCATAGCATCACCTTTCTCCAGTGACCGTGTCGCGCCACGCACTCGTATGCCACAACCGAGCAACACGTTGACGATCTAGGCGCCGATGAAGCCGGTCGCTCCCGTGATAGGGGTGAAATTGGCCATGTTTCTGTTGACAGAAAAGGACGAACCGATTGAGTGAGGTCAGAAGCGTAGGAATAAATTGCGAAGAGACATCTCGTCAAGGTGGTTGTTGTAATGATATGCTATCGTCTTCTTGTTGGTCTTGCATGGATGGTGGGGAGTAGAAATAGTCGGAATCAGATCACTATTTCTTTTCATCCTCCCGTTTTTCACTGATACTTTTTTTTCAAGCCTTCCCTTTGATACTGTTCTCAGATATACTCCATCATGAGTGCTGACTTCCCAGTCTACGTGCAGGACGTCACAATCACTTCTTTCGGAGTCATTAACCTCGATTCCCTACGAGCCTAGACGGTGTAGGCTCGGATGCTAAGCACGTAGGCACCAACGGCTCACATCCGTACCTCCAGCTCAAAACAAATAAAGGCACTCTAAGTGGAGAGGGCATTGTGAGTCTGGGATTCACTTCTTGGTGGAACTAACTCCGACGCTCATACAATCTCACCATAGGCATTTAGCAATGGCTGAGGCAGCGCACTGATCTGCATTGCTCTCGACATATTTGCCCGACGCGTCGTGGGTAAAACCATGCATTGACTAACTCGTGACATGGGGAAGACCTGGAGGTACATGGTATCTAGCTCGCAGTGCCGCTAGATTGGCCCTAAAAAAGAGTGTCACTCATTTTACTGTCGCGGGAGTATTGAATGCCGTTTGGGACCTCTCAAGCTGGTCTGGAAGATCGTGTGTGACATGGAATCGGAGGAGGTCGTGAGACGTATTGACTTTCGATACACCACAGACGTTATCACGCCCGAGGAGACCATTGAGATGCTCAAGGAAAGGCAAAAGGGCAAAGAGGCTCGCCCACAAGAAGCTCTCGAAAATCGAGCAGTTCCCGCATACACCACTTCTCCAGGATGGCTGGCCTTCTCTGGAGACCGTATGCGAGATGTACTCGAAGAAACCATCGCGGCAGAATACACCACATTCAAGTTCAAGGTTGGAACAATGTTGAAGCTGATCGGGAACGTCTGGTCGCAGTGAGAGGGTTCCGGGGTATGATCAAGGACCAGATCATGATCGATGCCAATCAAGTCTGGAGCGTTCCCCAGGCAATTGAATATATGAAACAGCTGGTGGAGTTCAAGCCGGTGTTTTATTGAACCAGCCAACCAACCCGGATGATGTTTTGGAACATGCAAATATTCGCACGGCTCTTAAACCGTACGGTATCAGCGTCGCAACAGGCGAGGCAGCAAAATCGCGCGACTTCCAAAGAGCTATTACAAGCAGAAGCGACCGATGTTTGTCAAATCAATGCCGTGCGACTTCGCAGTCAATTAATGCCTTGTGAGTGCAGCCTGTCTTGTCTTTTCCTTTCTTCGCCATTCGTTCTCACTGACTCGCCAGGCGGTCATGCTCATGGCGCTGAAATTCAATGTCCCATGTGTTCCTCATAATGGTGCGATGGGCCTCACCGAATTGAATCTCACTCTCACTTGAGCAGAATCGATTACATCGCTACAGTGGACAGATCAATGCTCGAGGATGCGGACAGTCACCGGGAACTTGTCAGGAATTCATGCACTTGAGAAGCCTTTGCTTTTTCTGGACGTCTTCAAGTATAGTTATAATAGCTTCAAGACTATAGAAAGCCCAGGGTCGAATATGTTTTAGAGCTAGGCTGTGCAATGCGTCAATATCGGTCACCAGATGTTCCAAAGCGGGATTTAGTGAAGCAAGCGTTACAATCACAATGGCACCGAGTGATCTGTAAGATTTGCCTTGTCAGCACTCGTCAAACATCCTTCGATCCATGTCACGTATGATAACGAGAATGTCCACGTGTATTGGCTCGGGCTTTTGAGAATTCTGACCGTGCCGTGGATGTAACATCGGCAGCTCTCGATGCAAATACCAGCCTTTTCAACAATATCATGGGACATGGGACATCACGGGTCACAATAAAGAGAGCAAATAGCCTGTATATGATATAAAGCGCGGCAAAATACCGAGTCCGTAGTATAGCCTGGCGATCATTCGATTCCTGCACGGAAACTTCGATGTTGAGTTCTGGACGAGAGATGTCTGGTATGGAAGAATGCCATAACTCGAGTTGTGAGCGTAACTCATCGCAAACCCGCACTCACGGACGATATACATCGTCCATGGAAAACTCTTCCGGCGTTGTCAGTGTAGTATATGGTCGCGTCAAAACGTGTCTCTTGCTCGGGTAGAGGGAATTATGCACGCGATTTAGTGATCTTCGAATGCATATCTCTGCGAAACAGCAGGTTGATTGCATCGTCCCATGGTTAGTTCACTCCGGAAGACTCAATTTCGTGGTCAATTGTTGCAAGCCACTTCGTGGGAGTTCCAGCTCGGCGAGTCGATCGCACTCGATCAAAAAGTAGGACCAAAACAAGCGGATCAGGCTCTCTCGCCACCAAGATTCCTGCTGCTTAGTGTTGATTCTGCACTGTTCAAAATTGTTCTCTCTTTGAGGCTGTCTGAGACCTTACCCCGAAAGTTTGAACTGATTATCGTCGTAGCAGAGTAGATGAATCGCCATCCTTGAAGGGGGCGGACGAGATATGCGAAATACACACTAGCAAGAACAAGCGCCTATGGCAGTATGAGACTACATGAGAATGACCATGCTGACTGCCTGAGGAGGATTGGCATAGCGGGCCGCATGTACTGCATGCCCGGGGGTGGATGAAGAAATGTATGAGCACCTGGTGGCGAAGCAGGGACGGCACCAAGTGCTAGGACAACCATACATAAAGCCGATGCAGTACTCGAATCGGGCCCATTCTCCAGAAACCGGCGGAAGAGATCTTCGAACCCGCCTAGGTCCAGGACTGGATGGTCATGATGAGCTGACGCGAAGCAGACAGATACTAAATTACAAAATCACTTTCGATTTCAACTGATGGTTTTGATACTGGGCATGTCTCAAATGACAGCCCTGGCGGAAGGTGAGCTCGTGATTCTAAGCCAAAAAAACAAATCGGTCGGATACTCCCCGGTGAGGGATTTGACTGGGGGTAAGCTCAGGAGGTAACTAGAGGATGTTTTGTGTTTGACCGGTATTGTCAGTGGGCGGTAGTTCTGACAGATTTGGTTGCATGTCTAATCCGGAGAATAACCAGGGTGAGGGCATGGTAGCATTCGGAAGCTCTCTTGCAGGAGCAGATGTGTGGCCTGATGGCGAGGCCTCGGGGACAGCATAAGCACCGATGTGGGACTTGGCAATCCTTGAGATCTGATCTGACTGAGCCTTGAGTATTGTCTCGATGCCATCTAAGCGGCTGAGGATTTCACGAATGTCACCGGACGTGTCGATCCTATCCCTGTGAGAGGACATTCGCCCATGAATAGTGAACCAACACAAACCTTGAGAGGGTAAATCGTCATAGTGAATTGCGCCTCTGGCTCTCTGCAGTGAGCACATGATGGATTCTGGCTATCACATCTACGTTTCCTTGTTTACTCAGCACTGGCATGAGACATTGGAGTAGGGACAGCTCACCTACCGATTGCGACAAAAAGTACAGCCCAGGGCCGCTCGTTTTCTGTTGAAACTCATGTTTCAATAATATATCGTGGTTACCTTTGTATATCGATGCATGAAGCAAGAATATAAGTCACCGGAGACAATCACGAGCAATGAGTACCTAGGAAGTTGGAGAAGAGAAGGGCTACGGACACTCACATTATCCAGCGATACTCAGCCACTAGGCTACTTCGGTATGTCTCCCGCTGGTCACTTTTCCCAACCAACCTGTGTAGATTATTTTATGGTATCCCTGTAGTAATTTACACTCCTATCATATGACCTCTGACATGACCATAAGACCATCCAAGTACTTTTTTGTATTAATCCCGCACAAAGTGGTGATAGATAAGTTTCTTCTGGTACTAAATTCATATTTTTAGCAGCTAAAGTTAAATGGTGGTAGTGGTGGGATCAATGGCGTCATCTATCACCACTTTATGTGCGATCAATAATACACTTGAATGGTGTCATGGTAATGTCGCAAGTCATGTTAAAAATACTATAGAGATACCATAATAATTTACAAGGGCTGGTTAGGAAAAGTGACCAGCGGTGGACATACCTAAAGTAGTTTAGCTAAAAGTGTGCCGCTAGCAAAGAAAGGTGTGCCCGTAGTCCTACTTGATGTATATTTCCCTCCAAGTAACTCATTTTACCTAGGTACCAACACTGCTCTAGACGATTGGTATATCTTTAACTACGTAACAGGATGATCCACCAGATTTAATGCGAGAAAGAAGCATCAAAAAGAGTCATAACATGGAAAGCACTTGTATAGAGGAGAATTGATTCCCCCGGTTCAAGTGCTCGGGGCCGGACAAACAGATCGTCCGTCACAAGCTGAGCGAAATTCAGTCCCGAGATCAGGTCATCTCGAATGGCACGGACTGGGGGACCTTCAAGGTTGCCCAAGGCAGTTGGCGGCCAGACCTTTGTTACCATGACAGTTTGCGAGATACTTACTTGTGAAAGTCAATCTCAAAATGACATGTCAAAACATCAAAGTTATGTCACCTAAGCGATAGGGTGGTCTGGTACCATGGAGGCCCTCCGCGCACATGGGGTCATATCCGAGCACATTCTGGATGAGCAATGGCTTGGCATTAAGTCTTACTGAGAAGACCGCAACGAAACAGCATCATAAGCTGCGGGGTTTGTTACACTGGCGGGCTTCTGGTGTGCTTGCTGTGGGTTCCATTCGCTCAAGGATAGCACGTCTCATGGCTCCGTCATCGCGTTTAAGCGCGGGCGCCTGATAGGACACCATACATTCAGGACTGCTAAAATAAAAGAACGGCTTCTCAAAGATGGATTGAGATGCAAACTCCAACTCTCTATCGATCGTGGAATATCCCGCAGGGACCTCCTGCCATGACTTCAACAATCTCATCGCTGTTTGGTTACAAAGCAGATGGCTCCGGAGCACCAAAGCCCTTAGCAGAACCCCTCAAAGCTCTCCCGGCTTCTTGGTACCGTTCGCCAGAGATGTATGAGTTGGAGAGAAGGGCCATCTTCTCGAAGAAATGGATTTTGATTACTCACAAGTTGCGTTTTGAAAAGCCGGGAGACTTCTATTGCTTTGAGGTGGCTGGATTCTCATTTCTGCTTTGTCTCAACCGCGAGGGGAACTTGAGCGGCTTCCACAACATATGCCGGCATCGTGCATTTCCCCTTATCTCCCAAGATAAGGGCAATTCCCCGGTCCTTTCTTGCAAGTATCATGGATGGTCATATGGACTCGATGGAAAATTGGCCAAAGCACCCAAGTTCGACGATGTGCCAGGATTCAAGAAAGAGGACCAGAGCCTATTCCCAGTTCATATTCATGTTGACGCACTGGGCTTTATCTGGGTTAATCTCGATTCCTCCCAAACACCAATCCCTTGGGAAGAGGATTTCAAAGGTGTGGACACACAAGAAAGGTTCGGGCAATTTGATTTCGGCCGGTATAAATTTGACCACACATGGCACATGGATGGGAACTATAACTGGAAAACCTTGGCAGACAACTACAATGAATGTTATCATTGCACTATGGCCCACCCGGACGTGGCAAAACTCGCCGACCTGTCATACTACTACACCGTCTCGAAAGCTGGACACATCCAACATTTCTCCCGTCCGAAGAAAAACAAAGTGAAAGACGACATCAAGAATGCCAGCACGTATTATTTCCCAAATGCTTGCATGACAGTTTCGTGGGTTCCCCTTCATAGGGAAGCACAGTAGTGAGAACTGACGCCTTTCACTATAGACCGCACTTTTTCTATCTGATGCGATGCGTTCCAACTTCAGTGGGGACTTGCTCCATGGAATACGAGGTCTACCGGCATGAGGAAGCCTCTGATGAAGATTTCCAGTACATCGACTCATTTTTTAAGCGAGTTTTGAACGAAGACAAACATCTTTGCAATGCAGCTCAAAAGAATCTAGATGCTGGAATATTTGTCAATGGGCAACTTCATCCAGAGCTCGAGAGCGCTCCTTTATTCTTCCAAGACACCGTGAGGGGCCTCCTCAGGAAACATCGGGATGAGGAAAAACGCCAGAAAAAGGAACTCTGGCCAGCTCGCCAGAGCTCCGCAGGCTCAGCCACTGCCGAGGACACTGAGTTCTGTGCGGAACTAGCATGCAGTGGGAAATACGGCAATCTTGAATGGTAGTTTAGGAGAAATTGAGCTGATTGAATTGATTTTGGTTTTTTTGGAGAGTTTTCTTTTCTTCTCTGCGGAATGTCTAGGATGTGGGACCCGGTATCTTGGATGGGCTTTTCACATTTACCCCTTTTTTCCAACTTCAAGGTCACCCAAATCATAACATGGGAATATGGGAAATTGGCCATTTATAATCTGGACTATTGTAATTATTAATCATTGGCGCATATACCAACAAAGTATGGAGTACTCCATACTATTTGAGACCGTTTCATCCCGTCCCATGGTATCCTTGATCGACGATGAGAGATAGATCTACAGTCGGATCTACAGTAACGCAAGGGGCGTTAAATGACAATGATACACCGTACCTCTGGCGCAAATCAACGCCAACTGTGTGACTGGGCTACGTACTTTGTAAGATGGATGGATAATATATTGGTTTCTTGCATCAGCACTCCGTACCCATCTTAGGGTCATATCATCTACTCTGACAGAATCGGAGTTGTATTGTAGTCTCCAAGACCAGAAATTTGGTTTTATCTCTGCATTATACCCTTGTCTGATCCCCCATGTAACAGTTTGCCCCAAAATTTGTCCCTGTCAGTCATGTCTGTTGTTTTTCCCCCTGCCTATCGCAATAGTAGAAACACCCCAAGTTGAAATTCCATCCATCAAACCTGACATCCTAAGTCCTCTGGGGACATTTCCTCTTCTCGTCTTCGAATGAGCAGATTCGCGGTTGAATCAGCAGTCATAGATACTCCAAATCGCCTGACTTGTGGTAGAGATGCCTCATCGAGCTTGATGTCATATTTGAGAAGGATTTGGCAAAGAGCAATTTTCATTTCGTTGGCAGCAAAGAACCTTCCGGGACAGGCATGCTGCCCAAAGCCCCAGCCCAAGTGAATTGGAGAAGGCGCAACCAGTTGAGCAGCAGTCTGTTGACCAGGAACATCACGCATTTTGAGAAAACGATAGCCGTCGAACTTTTCGGGATTTTCATAGATTTTCTCATCCCACATGCTATCCGCGGAGATCAAGATTGTGGTGTCTTTGGGGATGAAGACTCCGTCTGATAACTCAACGTCGGTGGTAGTAAGACGGCGCATTGGCGCTGTGATCAGTCAGTATTTGAACATCGGGAAATGAATAGTGAAGCTTACTGATTGCGACGGGCTTCAGTCGTTGGCTCTCCTTGATTGTACTGTCCATAAGCACTAACTTGTACAGTGAGATCTTATTCCAACCGTTCTCGCGAGTCACAGTTATTATCTCCTCTCGCAGAGCCTTGACCAGGTCTGGCTGGGCAGCGATGTCAAATAGAATCTGTGTCAGCATGTCCGCCGAGGTATGAATAGCAGCCATAGAAAGCAGAAGTTGTGAGATCGCTGGATTGTATGGGCGACCTTTGGCAACATCCTCCATCCAGTCAATAGCATCATTGTACTGCGTTGGGGCTTCTCCTGCCTTGATAGCATCTGCTCTGTCGGCTCGTCTCTTGTTCAGGATCGGTGTGATTAGCCCAAGGGCCTGTTTCATATCCGACCGAATCATTCGGCACGAAGGGAGCACCCAATTTACCAAAGGTCGCAGCATCTTCGGCCATTGTCGCAATTTTTCGGTCGCGCGAATCACATGGACGGCGTAGTTGATGGTGATATGGAGCCAGCTGGGGTCTCGACACAGAAATTCACCCAAGAATACCCTGGAGGACATTTGGGCCAGCATCGGAGTGATGGTAGATCGGAGAGATATGGCGTGCCATTCTGTCTTCATGTTAGCGTTCCATTTGAACCCCGACAGAAACTTGTACTTCAACTCACCCTTCTCATCAGTCCAGTGTTTTTGAACCACCAAGGCAGTCTCCTTTGACAGATCCTCTGTGACACGCCCTTTTTGTAGATATTTAGTTAGTCCTCAGTATCATTCAAGTGCTTTCTTGTGAGGAGTTACCCAGTGTGCGTGTCAGTTTCGTCAGCACAACATCGTGCATAATTCGCTCATCTTTTGATCCTTCACGAAATGGCTCGAAGCCAGGAAGATGGGAATGCAACTCCTTCGCGGATGCCTTGTCGCGACTCATGTCGGGATGATTTCGAATCTCATTGAGATATTTCGGTGGGAGTACAACTTGGCATCCATTGTCTGTGATCAGCCGGAACCCCTTAGCAGACTTTTAAATAATTCATATGTCAGTCTTGCCTATCAATTCCGATGTATGATAAATAGAGATACCTGAGCAAACCCGGATTTGATCAGGTCTGCCGCGCCAGTGACATAGGAACGACGAGACTTCATGCTTCCAAAATCCAAAATGGAGTTTGAATTGATCAATGGCAACTTGGACCCAATTGAAAAAGAGAACTGCAGTAGATAGCCAGCAAAAAGAATAACACCGACCGCCACAACCACATCACCAGGAGGCGACCCATTGAGTGCATACCCAAGCATGATGAGCCCAATTAGGTAATGTAGTTACAGCTGAACTCCGGATGAAGGGTACCCTTTGCAATATACAGGAGTATAAGTGAAATCAGTAAAAAATTGACAAAGAATGAGTCGTCTTGTCGAATACTAGGAAATGGTTAAATAATAGGCACAATTCATAAGCAAAACGTTTCCCGAAGCACGATATACCGCGGCGATGCATAAAAACATAAAATATAAAAAAGACCTCGGGATCTACATGTTGCGCTTATGCAAGGACAATTGCGATTTAGTCGGCGATCAGGAGAAGGGGGGTGAGACCTTACTAACACCTCTAGATCATTGGAGAGGGGGTAAATGAGACGATGATCGCAGGCAAGAAGCCATCAAGTCTCTCTCCTCTCTGAGACCATACGTTGTGTAGAGTTCTTAGAAGAATGTCCACGCAAGGCTTGTTTCTTATGCAACATTAATATAGTTCCGCGACGGGTGGCTTTCCACCTGCAGCTATTCCAGGAGGTTCACTCTGAGCACGGAGTATGCTATGGTAAAAATGAAGCGAGACGGCAAATTTGGAATGTGAGTGACGTTGCAAATGCATAACTTATTAGGTCAACTATCGTCCTCCCACACACCGCTCCTTGTATTGTACCTGCAAGTGGTGTATAAGTTGGCGGCTGGCTGACTAGACTATGTCGATCAGTGGCCCAGGCCTGAGTCCAGTGGATAAATCCGGCATTGAGCTCTTGCGTGTCAATATCATACGCAATGAGCCGTAGTGGAACGCAGAGTAATATCGATAGTAAGACACACCGATGTAAGTAGCTGAGGGGGATGCATGTACTCCGTGGGGCGTACTGACCCACTAATTCTACTCCCGCATACCTGGTTTTGGGGTGCTGTGATTGGCTCCCGGAGAGTGGGTCAGGTTCAGGTATTTGGGCTTCAGAAATACCTGAAATCCCGTGCTTCGATCGGTCTGAAAATTTGTATAGTTTTGTTCTAATAGTGTACGAGGGTGCCTACCAAATTTGGGACCTAACGGAGTACGTGAAGGCGGTGAAGAATCAAAGTTAAAATCTTGATTCTTTTTTTAGTGGGGTGCGACCGGCGGATGTTGATACGGGCCCTGATACCGATCCGTATTGGTCTTATCTTAGCCGCCTAGTAGTAGGAATTCAATACCGTATCTGTATTTACCTCCCCGGTATTTAAACTCGTGGACTTGCTTATGAGAGTTTAAATAGTTAATTATTTTAATACTTACTTAACTAGGGAAGATACCACTGTGATTCGAACTAGGATCGCATGGTTTGTATATAGAGATTTGTGCACACTTGGTCCTTATGCGGATCCATAATGATCGGCATGGACCCATCTTGCACTTCGCGGGTACGTCGGTCCCCGTACTAGGTAGTACTTAGTCGTTGGCATATCCAACTTACACAAACCATGCGATCCTAGTTCGAATCACATTATCTACTACCAAGACATATATTTCAAAGTGCATATAGTAAGAATCTTTATTTTCCCGGACTAATCGGCCAGTATCTCCCTTTCTAGACTAGCTACAAAATTCTGAATAGTGCATTTTATAGCCCTTTTTGGATAGTATATTATACTACTTTTTCTACATTTTTCTATAATTCTATTAATATATTATTTAATTAGCAAAAAGTCATTGAATTCTCCTAGAGATCACTCTGCTTTCGACCCACTCACTACCCATTCAACCAGGCATATTCCTCGAGCCGAGATGAGCCTAGACAATTTCAGAGCTTCCTAAGAACCCCCGCACAGCTACCATAAACTCGTTACGAAACTCATTTCTCTACACAGCCCGTAGTATTTAGCAGACCACATGGGAGACCGGTGATATGCTCCTGCATTAGGGAGACAATAACCAAGAATGTGCAGCCGGGACTTTTCGAGAGCATCCACGACAGTGCTCCAATCCTTAACCTTTGACGTTGGGGCTCGTTGGGTGTTGCTGTGATTCTAGGAAAGGGCATTCTAGGAAAGGGCGATTGTTCATATTTCTAGGTAATACATGGAGTGATATACAACGCCGATATCCCTTATGCTGCGGCTGCATTGCTGATCCGTTATAGGCTTCTGTATAGCAATATGCACCAAGCCTAATTTATTGAAGCGTTGGCCACGGTTGCTTCCAAACCACCACGTAGCACCGTACTGCTCAACAAACTGCTACTAATATGGGCGTTCTATATTTCAGCCTCTTAGCTGCACAGACAAGATATACATAGTCTTAAATACAAGATGACGATCGTGTTCCCTCGCGCCAGTAATAGATCGGGACTCCCATCGCACGAGAGTAGAGGCTGAGGCATACGAATTATTTTTGATCGACGCCCTAGCCGTTTTTGACACGGAGCAACATTTCCCAGTCAACTCAATAATGGCAGGACCCTTCGACTCAAGTTATGGGAAAGGCAGCTTTGCACAGACCGTGGAATCATGTCGGGTCCGTCGATCAGTGGCTGAACCCCAAATTACCTGTGTCTCGACCAGTGAGTTCCGATGAACCATGGGAAAGCTCGCTGGGTGGGAGAATGCAGTTCTCGTGAATGAGCGGGATTTAAGCTTCAATCTAATCGAAGGCTTATCCACAAGCCTCTGCTCCACTTACTTTTGATTGGTGGTGGTTAAGTCCCTACAGCCCAAGGAGAAGCCAAAAAGATCGGAGCAGAATCTCTACGATCCCGACCCGCTAAATTATAGGATATTATAAAATACCAAACTCTATTGAAAATATTACGATCGCCAGAGTCATGGTAAAGATACTGAAAGTGCTTGAAAAAGACCGCAGGTCGGCCGGCCCACCCCGACTTTTGCCATGTCGCGGACCCAATCAGGTACAGTCATGTTTCATTAATATTTAAAACCCCGATACTTCGCTAGGCTCGAGACCCACCTTTTTTTTTGCCGGTAGAAAACTTCCATATTCAAAACCCTTGACTACATAGTCACTAACAATCATAGAGATAGAATTAGAACGGTAAAAATAGAGAGAAAAGGGGTAATAACCTCTATAATTAGCGTATACTACGTGCTACGCGCGCTCTGCGCGGGGTGTGTTCACTAGTAGAAATAGGGAGGCGGTATATGTATAGCGGTCAAGGGTGGAAGTACTAGGGTTTAAATATTAATGAAACGCCACTGTACTTAGCTTCTCGGGCAAAATCCGGATACTCCTTTTACGTAATCCCATGTGGTGTGTCCAAAATTGGCATCAATCTTTATACGCTGTCTGCTAGATTCATCAGACTGACAATCGAATTGGGGCAGATGGAAGGAGGAAGTGTCGAGTTCGAAGAAAGTATACTCATTAGAGGGAGTGTCCATATAGGAGAAGATACATGGCTTCTTGAACGTTCAATAGACCAGATAGACAAGCAGCAGCTAGTCACTCGACAAACCAAATTTCTTGTGAGAGCAGCTACGAGTGTAAAGGAACGCGCTATGGATGCGGAACCAAGATCTTGATGTACATTTAACTTCTTTATCTCGAGCTTCTTTGAGGGTTGCCAAGGATTGACCATGTGATCACCCTGACAACTGCCAGTGTCCGAAAGAGGACTCGGAAGCTAGCTGAACAC